ATTGGTGTGGTCACCCAGAATGTTTCCGTAGCAGAATGGGGATTTGAATGTGGATCTCCCATATCTGTCCTGACCTGCGTAGCCCAGGCTAGCCAGATCTCATCAGATCTTGAAAGCTAAGAGCAGAGTCGGCCCTGGTTGGTGCTCAGATGGGAGACCACAAAAGAAGTCCAGGGTTGCTATGCAGAGGCAGGCAAGGGCCAACCGTCTCTGAACGTTTCTTTCCTTGAGAACCCTATGAGGTCGCCATAAGTCAGCTGTGACTCGACGGCACTTCCCACTGTTCCCTTATCCCAGTCTGACACTCTAACCCAGTGGTGGCGAACCTATGGCACGGGTGCCAGAGGTGGCACTCAGAGCCCTCTCTGTGGGCACGCATGCCATCGCCCCAGCCAGGCCCAGACCATCATTAAAGTGTCAAATTCTCTGCCAAATAATTTTAAGTAAATGAAAGCATTTGGGATTGCTTTCCTTACTTTGTTTGGATCATCTTAAGTTAATGTGTGAGTTGTTTTTTCTAAAGTAAAACCTCAGTATTCAGGTTAAATTGCCGTGTTGGCACTTGGCGATAAATAAGTGGGTTTTGGGTCACAGTTTGGGCACTCGGTCTCTAAAAGTTTCGCCATCACTGCTCTAACCATTGCAAACCAAGCCGGCTCTCTTGTTAACGTGGTACCATTAGTTTAGGTTTCATAAGAAAGTAAGGCTGAAATCCTAAAAGCTCCTTCCTGGCAATAAGCCCCACTGAATAAAATGGGAATGAACTTCTGAAGAATGGGACCTAATACCTCATTCTTTTAGGTTCGTGCTTGGATGGGGGATGCTGGGGAATGGGACTTCCTGCAGGCAAGCCAGATGTTCAGCCATTGAGCCACAGCCGTGGCCTGAAATGATACAGCTGTTGTTGCCATAATATAGGAGCCACCAGGGTCCATTCTATTAACCCTACCACTACAGCAGTAGCCTTCTTAGCATCCCGTCTCACATTACCTTCACTGTGTGGGAGCTATTGCAAAACAGCTCTTTCCAGTGCTGTGAACATAATATCAGAAGAAGAAGAGGAAGAAGAAGAGGAAGAGGAAGAGGAAGAAGAGGAGGAGGAGGAGGAGGAGGAGGGCTGCTGTGTGCCTCGCTCCGGGCACCCTTGTCTAGCTGAGCGCCTTCATAAATCAGGATGGCTGCGGGAGGAGGAGGGGGGGTGACTGATCCAAGGTCATACAGCAGCTGCATGTGGAGGAGTGGGGAATCAAACCTGGTTCTCCCAGATTAGAGTCCACGCACTTAACCACTACACCAAACTGCCTCTGTGAGAGGAGCTCATGTTGATGTTCTACCCTTCAACAGTATTGCCTAACGTTTCCAGGAATTGTGCCAACATTCGTAGGAAGTACTGTGTTGGTGCCTTCCATATGGTTCCCACCCTTTTTGAGCGTGCGGGTGCTTTTGGAATTCCGAGACGGGGTGGTGGACACAGCCACAAAATGGCTGCGATAGTAGTTGGTGCCAACTACAGAGTGTCAGGTATTGAGGTGATGCATAACTGTAATAGTAACTCTTCAGCAGGTCGGGCAGAAGCTCTGTTTGGCAGGATAGCTTTAAAATGAACATATTGTTTACGATCCCTGTGCTGTGGAGGCAGATATTGCCAAAGTGATGGCTTTTTAAAGCTGCACAGCCAATCAGAGCTCCAATGGCCAACCAGAGCCCTGCTTGGCAAAAGCCCCATCTGACCCCACCCACAGTGGGAGGGCCTCTGGAGTTCTGGCCATGTTGGTGGACCTCCTGATGGCACCTGGGTTTTGGCCACTGTGTGACACAGAGTTTTGGACTGGATGAGCCATTGGCCTAATCCAACATGGCTTCTCTTATGTTCTTACGTTCTTAGAAAGTAACTTGTTGGTTGCCAGTAAAGGTGTCAGTGGATGCCATCTTGGGCCCCCTAGTCCAGAGCTTCTAACTTTGTGTTACAGGAAAGGACTGTACTGTAACATCTCCCACACCTCATGGGTAACCCAAGATATGGCCCTGTGGTGGTTCACATTGTATTCACACCTCTCTTAACAATGTGCACTGGATTCTTGGTTGCTCAGTTGAAATCACAAGCAGTGTTTGATCACAGTGTGTGTTGTTATGACTAATGGCAAAGATGACAAACTAGAAATAGGAAAAGGATTCAGATAGAACAAGGAGCAATCATCTGAGAAAACTACAGTTAAGGATGGGGGGGTAGAATGCTTTGAAGAAGTGGTGTTCTCTCCATATTTGTGTAGATAATGGCTTGGCAAAGAAGAACGTTTCAGAAGGTTTCTGTTCTTCTTGATTGATCACCGTTGCCTTGATTGTTTTGGGATTTGGCTGCAGAGGGAACATCTGTCTCTGCAAGACATTTGCAGCTTTCCTGAGTATGGACACTTGTAGATGTAGCGTCCCTAGAGAATGAGTCATCAATTGGTGATGCTGACCGGTTGCACACAAATTTCTAGACACATTCCAAGAGGGATAACCGTGTTATTCCGCTGTGGCCAAAATGGCAAAAAAAATCTTGTGATACCTTAAAGACTAATGAATATGTTGTGTCATAAGCCTCCTTAAGCCAGAATCCACTTTGTCATAAGCATGGAGATCCATGGAAGAGGCCAAGGCTCAATGGCAGAGCATCTGCTTGACATGCTAAAGTTCCCAGGTTCAATCCCTGGCACCTCCAGTTTAAAGGATGCAGTAATAGGTGATGTGAAAGACCTCCACCTGAGCCCCTGGAGAGCCGCTGCCAGTCTGAGTAGACCATACTGACCTTGATGGACTGATGGTCTGATTCAATCTATGGCAGCTTCATATGTCCATGCATCTGACAAAATGGGGTCAAGCTCACAAAAGCTTATGCCATAATAAATATGTTAGTCTTTAAGGTGCCACAAGACTCTTTTACTTTGCCCCTGCCTGGTGGAATGAGCTCCCATATGAGATCAGGGTCCTGCGGGATTTATTACAGTTCCGCAGGGCCTGCAAGATGGAGCTCTTCCACTGGGCTTTTGGTTGAGCTGACAGGCATCCTACCCTTTTTCCTGGCCAACCCCCCACCAGTGGCCTGGTTCAAATTTGACATTGGGGCACCACTGTTATACTCAAACATGACTGACACCTGAATAGGCTATTTTGCATGGTAGTTGTGATTTGTTTTAATTTGTCTAACTTGACATAAACTGCCTTTAGCCCGCTCGCAGGGAGGGCAGTATATAAATCAAATAAATAAATGATAGATAGATAGATAGATAGATAGATAGATAGATAGATAGATAGATAGATAGATAGATAGAGGGCTATTTTTGGGCAGGAACGCACAGAAACGGAGTTCCGGCTGGCTTCAGAGTTGGCC